CCCAATTATGTCACATGTTGGATGCGCACACATACACAATCCACCATGGAATGCAAAACAGCTTTATTACATTGTACTTATGATTCCAAAAGCTCACTATTATGGACACAAATGTAGAAAAAGGGGAACAATAAATTCCCAAATTACAATCTGCATGTAACTGTTTAGTGTATTATAGGTCTTGGTCTAAGTAGTGCTTAAAATACATATATAGCTGTACACAAAACAACAATTGTATATAAAAACATTAATATAGGATTATGTATTATATGTATTATTATTACAATATTACATTTTTATATTGAAACAATGTATTAAGTGCAACAAACCCAACAATATTATTCCATAAAATATTTCATCATGTCTGTTTAAAGAACCATTTTGAAAACTCTATAAAAACAAACAAACTCCAAAACACATTTAAAAATTAATCAGTAGAGGTGTATCTAAATATAGGCTATATAAGCATCATAAAATATTGTTAAGATTGTATTAGCTATTATTCTGTAAGATGTTAAACATTCCCTAACCTAAAATGCCCATTCCAGATACTTTATCCAAAAATAAAATTTAAAATAATCTATATATGCATATCCTTTTATGTTGAAAGTAAAGCATCATAGGAATAGTAAAACAGCACTAAGACCTTGTTATAAATTTATTTTTGGTTTTTAGAGTGTTTCCCCTCTCCAGTTCGGTACTACCTTATCTATCCCCATACAAATGAATTAATCAAAACTAAAATCCTTGTATTTGGTGCAGTGTCTGTGGACATTGTGTTTTAAGATCTTTTTATTTATACCATTAAAATGTTCTAACATTCTTTCATGCAATTCTCTTATTGTTCTTCCTATATATTTAATGCCACATTTACATTATAAACAGGTAAACAGCATTTTTACTTTGACAATGAATAAGATGATTCATTTTAAAACCTTCCCCTGTGATAGAACTTTTAAAAACAGCCGGTTTTGTGGTTTGAAGTTTACATGTACTGCAATTAGCACACTTGAAAAAAATATTTTGGTTTATCTTTTAAAATGCTTCCTTTTGGAGTCTCTTTTAATTTTGGTAAAAGACAAGGTGCTAGAATCATTTGTCTTTTTATATATTATTTTAGGTTTTTCAGGTAAAATTCCTTTTAAAAATGTATTTTGTCTTAAAATAGGCCAGTGCTTGTTAAAAACTATCTTTATTAAATTTAGCTAAAAATGTGTTTCAAAATTCATATTAGAAACCTTGCTTTCTCTACTTTTACCTTATAGCAATTCCTGTCTATTTCTGGCTTTCAATTTCTATTTGAGTTTTATTTATAAGATCCCAAGAGCTCATAAATAATGTCTATTTAAAAGCTTTTTATTTAAAACCTGTGTTTGTTCCTTAAAATCTGCCTCCTCATTGCAATTTCTAAAAACCCTCATCTGCTGACCTTTAGGAATTCTTAAACCGATTTATGTGGTGACAGCTGAAATACTCAATCAAACCATTTCCATCTGTCAGTTTGAAATAAATTATATTGCACACTTTCCCATTATTGACAAAGAAAGTCAACTCTAAAAAACAAAGTTATTCCTTATCTATTTCTGCTGTAAATTTTAACAATATTGATTGGAGTTAACAAATCCTAAGAATTCTTCCAAAAGGACCCTACCACCGCCCCAGATAATTATTACATCATCGATGTATCTCTTCCATAGCACCAGGTTTGCTCCAAAAGGATTATTCTGCCAGATGTTCCTGGACTCCCAGTTTGCCACAAATGTATTGGCATAACTAGGAGCAACCAGTTCCAATAGCTGTCCCACATGTCTGTAGGTAATATGCTCCTTCACGACAGAAAATGTTCTTAGATAAAATAAACGTAATACTCTAAAATAAATTGGATCTGCATACTGTGCATCCCTGGGTCATTTTCTAGAATTACTTTAACCTCTTCAATTCCTTTTGTATAACCAATGGCTGTATACAAGGAAGTGACATCAATAGTGACCCATTTATAAATATCCTTTTTTCCATTGACGGACTTCCATTTCTTTTATAATTTGTATTTAATCTTCTACATAGGAGGGAGCCATAGACGTGTATTTCTTTAGAAAGAAGTCTACATATTTAGAGATGTTACTAGTTAAAGAATCAATCCTGCCGATAATGAGCCTTCCCGGGGGATTACTTTGGTTGGTATGAATATTTGACATATGGCAGAATACAGCCATCCTTCAAACACTGGAAGTAGCAGTCCATATCTCCATTTGGTAAATACTTTTGTATCCACTATTGTTTAGCACAGATTATTGGTGTCTGGCGCCCTTTGTTGTATGTCGTGCTGTCTATATACACGTTTCTTTGTACTAAATAATAAGTGTCAGCAAATTCCTGTGAGCATAGGCGCAACAAAACTGCAGTTCAGAGACATGCTCGATACAAGCATAGCAACAGATGGTGAATATATTGGGTCAAACAAGGTTGCTTAGGGTACTATCGTGTCCACTTTCATGTTTCATGAGTTCAATTTATAAGATAAGATTTGACTGTTTAAAAATAATCACATGTACCAGCATTTATTATTAAACTATACACACCCCAACAATAAACCACAATACAAAATACAGTATACCGCTTATTACCAGTCAAAAAGATGTATAAAATGTGACACAAATGTATCTGAAAAGTGTACCTTTAGATCAGTGTAATAAGTCTTTTAACTCAAATGAACCATGTACCTTTAAAACATAGACATATATACAAAAGTGTATAACCGTATACTATAATTAAATAGTACTTATAAAACAATTGAACACTCACACTCAGAACCAGACTGACCCACCGGGATACCGCGGGCCACACACTGCAATTACAGGGTGACCGGCAGGAGGGGATGCGCTCCCCTCCTGCTGGTCAAAGAATGTAGAGTGGCCGAGCAGGCAGACCGCAGTAGAGGAGATCCTGTTCCCCTATCCGGTCTGACAGGAAGTGCTCACAGAGAGCACATGACTGCTTCCTGTCAGACCGGGTACAGTGAGCAGGAGCTCCTCCACCATGTCTGCCTGCTCGGCCACGCTACAGCAAAGTATAGGGAGAGCTGGGGGATAAACTAACTGGACACAGGGAGAGCTGGGGGAGGATCTAATGGGACACAGGGAGAGCTGGGGGGAACTAATGGGACACATGGAGGGCTGGGAGGGGAATATAAGGACACATGGAGGGCTGGGAGAGGGTATAGGGACACATGGGGTCTAGAAGGGATCGCTAGTGGGACACATGGGGGCTGGGAGTAGGCCTATTAGGACACATGGAGGGCTGGGGGGCTAATAGGACACACAGGGGGGCTCATGGGATACATGGGAGGGCTAATGAGACACATACAGGGCTGGGAGGGGGTATAGGGACTCATGGAGGGCCCGGAGGGTGCTATAGGAACACATGGAGGGCTGGGAGAAAGGGCTAGTGGGACACATGGAGGGCTGGGGGGGCTATATGGATGGAGGGAGGGCTAATAGGACACATGCAGGCCTGGGGGCTAATGGTACACATGTGGGGGCTACTGAGACACATGGAAGACTGGAGAGGGTGGAATGAGACAGATAAAGGGGCTGGAGAGTAAAAAGACACACGGAGGTGTGTGGGGAGAAAGAGACTGAGGGGTTGGGAAAGGGGAACAGGAGACACACACAGAGGAGCTAAGGAAGATGAACACAGAGGAGCTGTGGGAAAAGATACACATAGAGGTGCTGGGGCCTGGGAAAGAGTCTCACAGAAGGGCCGGGGAAAGGGAGAAAGAGAAAATGGGGCTTGGGCTAAGTTACACATGAAACAGGCCTGGGGGAGAAAGAGACAAACAAAATGTATCTTCACTTGTGTCTCCTGCTCTCCCTGTAACTCGACCGGTGAGAGAAAGATGTCATATTAAAGGGACATTATAGTCACCAGAACTACTTCAGTTTAATGTAGTGGTTCTGGTGTCTATAGCCTGTCCCTGTAGGCTGAGCACTGTACATGCTACCTTTTCAGAGAAAAGACAGTGTCTACAGTGCTGCCTAGGCACATCTCTAGTGACAGCCACGCAGACCGCCACTAGAGATGCTTCCTAGTCCAGTGCTGCACACTCTGCATGGAGGTACTGATCGCTCCCCATAGAGATGCATTGATGCAATGCATCTCTATGAATAGATGCTGATTGGTGCGGTGAAATGCAGCATTTTGCCACACGTGCGCAATAGCCTCCCAATGCTTTTCTATGGGAATTGAATTGGCAGTGACTGAAATTTTGTCAGCCAAAGTAAAGAGTATACACTCTTATTACTTAAAAAAACAAGATAACATTTAAAAAAAAAAAAAATTTAAAATCTTTATTTTTGTAGTGCGTACGATTATAACAATTTCTTAAGAGGTACCCCGAAGGCATTCCTCTAGCGCATTATGAACAGTTTAAACATAGGGGTAAACAGTAGATATTGCACATTTTTTTTTGGTAGGTTTATGTTGCTTAGATAGGTTCAAAATGCAACATAAATTTTGTTTATATAAGACAAGAAGTATTAACGAGATTTTCATTGCATTGCAAAGTCTGGCAGTTTAAACAGTACCATTTTTTGTTCAGACCATGAAAAAGACAGGCTATGAGACTTCAACAGTTGGCAATAAACATGCTAGGCTGGATATCTATTTGACAACATTATATACGCTTAAGTTTATAGCATGGCATTGAGAGAACAAGTTGCAAAAATAATAAATGAACGTTAATGGTACGTCTAGCCTGTAGTGCTGCATGACCTGTAACTTGGCTATTCTGGTAACAATACAAATAATGCAGGTTTACAACGCTATCTATATAAACCTGTCATTATAGTTAGATTATAACGTGATATTTATGCTAGGTCTGAAAATGTTGCTTTAATAGAGAAACATTAGCTTCAAACCAACAATAAGTACCCTGCATGGGTAGATGCGTTTTGTATTTGCATTGGGTTATAGGCTAGGGTTTGCAATACGGGACATATTGGCTCATACATTAAGTATACTGTACATGTGAATAGCTCTGCACCTTTTTAAAGTAAAAATTTATATTACACAGTGCATGGGAAATTAACTTGAGAGGGTGTCCGACAAATAGGCTTGACCTACATACTGGTTGAGGTTATAATGAGAGGCTAGTGCAGATCCAGATCTTAAGACAAATTAGTTATGTCGGGTCCCTCAGTATAAGGCAGATAATTCAGTAACAGGAGCCCAGTATGAGCATTCACGATTGGAGAAAACTAGAGCCAACTATGTAACTGTAGAGGTAGGGGTTAAATCTGAGTTGAGTTATTTGGCCAGTAAAGTGGAGCCTGGGGTGCCAGTACTGTAAATGACATGCTAGTGATTGGAGGTTTAAATGCACCCATAAAAATAAATAAAAAGAAAACAGGGTCATAGAATTTTAACTAGTTAGCTTAAGTGAGCTGGCTTATTACCAACCTAGGACATACATGCTGCACATTGTTGGTAGTATATAAAAGGTGCAGGCATGAGCTATAACAACATATTTACTCCCAGTGAGCATCTAGAGTTCGTTGAAAGTGTCCGCTTGAATGGGTTATGGGATGCTCAGCTGGAGCGGTGGGTCTCCCTGGCTGTCGGTCCGGGTGTTGTGGTTGCATGGGTCAGTCTCTGGAGGGTCAGCCGACACCTAGTCTGGGAGTAGCGGGTACGCGCCTGTGGGTTCCGTTGGCGAGTCTCCCCAGCTGCTCCTCAGTGTCCTGCGCGTGTTTGTGTGCCTCCCAGTGCAGTCCAGATGAGGTACTCCCCTTGCCCTGGGATCTTGTTGGAGCCATGACCACTGTCTCACTGACTCGCCACCATCTTGGGGCCGGGTCCTTCCCCTGTGCGGGGCTGTGTAAGCAGGGCTCGAGTCCTGCAGGAACGCATGGGAACGGCGTTCCTGCACTTTTTCCAAAGCAGGAACGCCGTTCCCGTTACCTGTCCTGCAGGACCGGCCCTGCTACCTGCACAGAGGGGCCAGCACACGCTGTGTTCCCTCTCCAGCTATAACTCTCGCGAGAGTTAGAGCTGGAGAGGGAACACAGCGTGCGATGGCTCCTGGGTGCAGCGGCTGGCTCCCTCCACCGGACCACCAGGCGATCTCCCCCCTCCCTGACAAGGTAAGAAGCAGGGAGGGGGGAATAAAATAAAAAATATACATAAAGTAAAAAAATGCTTCCCCCCACACCCATCATCCAGCACACACACACACATCATCCAGCACACACACACACACATCATCCAGCACTCTCACACACACATCATTCAGCACTCACACACACACATCATCCAGCACACACACACACACATCATCCAGCACACACACACACACACATCATCCAGCACTCTCACACATACATCATTCAGCACTCACACACACACACACATCATCCAGCACACACACATCATCCAGCACACACACACACATCATCCAGCACTCACACACACATCCACGCACACACACACACACACACACATCATCCAGCACCACACACACACACCATCCAGCACACACACACACATCCAGCACTCACACACCCATCATCCAGCACTCACACACACATCATCCAGCACTCACCACACACATCATCCAGCACTCACACACACGTCATCCAGCGCACACACACATCATCCAGCACATGCACACACTGCATTCATTATACACTACACTACATTCACTATACACTCACTACAAACACACTACATTCACTATACACCCTCTGCATTCACTATACACACTCTGCATTTATTATGCACATTCTGCACTCACTACACACACTCACTACACACTACATTCACTACAAACACACTACATACACTGCATTCATTGTACACACTCTGCACTCACTACAAACACACTAAATTCATTATACACAATTTGCACTTACTACAAACACACTACATTCATTATACACACTCTGCACTCACTACAAACACACTACATTCACTATACACACTCTGCATTCATTATACACACTCTGCACTCACTACAAAACACTACATTCACTATACACACGCATTCACTATACACACTGCACTCACTACAAACACACTACATTTATTATACACACTGCACTCACTACAAATACACTACATTCATTATACACACTCTGCACTCACTAAAAACACACTGCATTTGTTATGCACACTCTGCACTCACTACAAATACACTACAATTATTATTCACACTGCACTCACTACAAACACACTACATTTATTATTCATACTCTGCATTCACTACAAACACACTACATTCATTATACACACCCTGCACTGCACTATATGCATAGGAGTGTAATTTTTTTTTATTTTTTTTTAAGTGGGGGGGCGGGGGGGGAAGCGGGAATCTTGGGTGAGTTCCCACACTTTTTTCCCCAGGACTTGACCCCTGTGCGTAAGGCTGTGTTTAGTCGCTTGTGTATTCGTCTCATTCTTCGCAGGCGTGAGTGATGTTTAGGGGCTGCACCCTTTGTGGCTCGCTTCCTAGGTGGGCTAGCAGTGTTGTTGTAGGCAGGTACCCTGGTAGCTATGCCCGGTTGTGGCCTCTTTGGCTGCATCGCGGTTTTTCTCCGTGTTTGGACTAGAGCTTTAGCTGGTTTTCTGGCTGTTAGTGGTTTGACCCGGGAGTTAACCGGTGACAGTGCCGGTGGCTGTCGCCTGTTCTCCAGGCGTTCCCAGAATTGCTGGCAGAGGTCATCGAATTTTCTCTGGAAGGCTTCTGCCCAGGCTCTGGCGGATAGTTGCTCATCGCGTTTCGTGAGGCCATCGGCCATCTTGGGCGGGCCTCGTGTCTCCCAGCTTTCGGGTACATGCTCTGTGTTCCGTCGATGGTGAGTGCGCTCTCCACTGTGACAGACCGGGATGACCCCCACAGGTCCATGGGGGGGGAACGAGGGCCCTGATGCAGGCGCGCGGGTCGTCGCAGCAGCGGCATCGGGTGAGCGGCCGTCTCTCCCGCGTCCGCCAGGCTTGTAGGCCCCATATGTTCATCAGGTGAGTTTTGCTTAGATTGGTGCTTGAGTGGTATCGTTTTATGCAGGGTGATGTCCCCTCTCGTATGGTCACCCTCTTTCTTCAATTTAGCGCAGTTTGGGCATAGAAAATCACTATTAATCTCTGGGTATAGTAGGAGCTGTGAAAGGTTGCTTCTTCCCCGCTCTGCAGTCAGGCCCCGCCCCAAGATAAAAATTTTTTTACTGCTGTGCAGTAGCATACATTCCCAATTTCAGTCCAATTACCAAACATGTCTTAATATGTTAAGGTAGTTGGACTGAAATATTGATTATATGCAAATGCACGTCTGCTTACAATAAATCTGCTCTTTTGTTTATTTTGAAGCCCTATGAGTAATTTCTTTCACGTTTGAGTGATAGTTTTCAGTTTTAATTTATTTTTTTTTCCCCGCTTCCATATTTGCACACTGTGCTGGCGTGATGTATTATGGGGCTGGTATATAATTTATTTCCAGGGCTGCTTTTCATTCCCAGTCCAGCGCTGCTCACACTTCATTGAGCTAAACACTTAGCTCTAGGGGGAACAGTTTTGGGATCATGAGAGGCGACCCTTCCCTTCATTGTAGC